AACACTAGCAATTGTAACTTTATTATTTGGGAATAGTCACGTTTCATGACAAATGGCAGCATGAATGTACACATTTATAAACGCAGACACCTATGCATGTATATAATGCATATGTGTAAACAAAGAAGGGGCTAACTTTTCTAACTGCCAAAAATAATCTTTGCTTCTGAATGAATTCATCGCTGTTTATTTGTTCTCCTGTTGAGAGCTGGAAAGGAGAGCTCTAGCAGAGGTGTGAAATGGCTCATTTCTTTTACTTCATTATAGCCTTGAAGCTTCGCCATAATTATTCTAATCTGAGCGTTGAAGCCGCTTTGGCCATTGATTAAATGCCTCATCAATGAATTAAAATCGCAGACCACACTGCACGGTGCCACCTTTAGCTGAGATTACAGAAGGTTTAGATGAGAAGGGCCTTCAGGTGTCACTGAGCACAGTGCCTCATTTACAAGTGAGGAGACTGCGGCCCAAAGACGTCAGGGGACTGGCCCAGGGCGCTCGGCAAAGATCAGAGGGGTCATTTCAAGACTGGACGTTCACCTCTACTTCCCAGGCTCTGCCCAGTCTCATTATCTGAAGGCTTTTCCCTCTATAAAAACAAGTCTATCTGACTGAACTGTGTGAAGCCATTACAGTTGGATTTGCCTCCTTGGCCTCGTGTGGGTGTCAGCCTCGTAAGCCTCTCCAGTGTGGAGAAGAGGGATTATGAATCCAAGACAGTGAACAGGGGGCTCCAGCAGTTCTCTCCTTAACCTCCCTTCTTGCTCTGCCCTTGACGCTATACAAAAATACACAGGGGCCCAGTAAGATCACCTCACTTTAGACTGAAAAGGTCCACTGTTTTACTTTTGTTTTCCAACTGTAGTTTTAAGCAAAGTATTTGCAAATAGGTCACAGGAATCTCTTTCTTGTATCTAGATGGCATTTTTGGCGAGAACTGGTTATTGGTGAGCTCAAGAAATCACTTGTCTCTGATTCCAGTGTGCAGAACGGGTGGTCCAGGGGGCAGATTTGCCTGGAACCACACCTGCAGAACCGCAACAGGCTCCGGGCTGGAGGCTCCCAGAGGCAGGGTGTGGGTCTCCTCCCGCTTGTATCTCCAGCACCAAGCGCAGTGCTCCGTGGAGTTTGTTAGATACGTTAATGAAAGAGTAATAAGCAAATTAAATGTCTGGTTCTCCAGAGTTTCCAGGGCAGGCACTGGGGCTTTCTAAAGTTGTGTCAACCACACCGGATGGCTACGATGACGAGACCAAAACACCAACCCGCCAGCCAAAAACCCAAACGCCCTTCCAACTCTTCCATCCACGTCCGGGAGCCACTGCGAAGCGCATTCCCAAGTCTGAGCGGCAGCCTTAAACTTAAGGGGTGACTTGGGAAGGCGCCCCCACACCTCACTACTTCCTTCCGAAATGCTGGCCGACGTCCTGTCTTTCACTGCTGGACCAGGTGGCCACAGCCCGCAGCGCCTCACCTCCTCCGGATGGGTCCACGGCAAAGCCCGTTCCCGTTTCTTGCCTCCGTGGGGTTGTGTATAGCCTGGTGTTTCCCATCAAGAAAAAATGAGCACTTCAGTTTTGCTTGCTGGCATTTTGGACAACTCTTCTGACCAAGGCCTTGCATCTGTGGCCAGAATCCCAGCCAGCCTGACTTCTGATTAAATGTGTCCAGTAAGTGGTGGAAGGCGTGCAGGAGCGTGTGCTGCTGGAAAGACAGCTCTTTAGACATCCCCGTGTTGCACACTGATTCGGCGTGTGTGGCCCCTTTCGCAGGGACCGGCGTTCCTGCACAGAGTCTGCGGTGTCTCGCTGGCAGGAGACCACGCGGGGGATGAACATGTCTTAAGGAAGGAGCAAGAGTTGAGAAGGGACCAAAGATGCAGCCAGGGTCCCCTCCCAAAGCCTATAATTAAACCAATAACCAAAGTTTCCTTCAGGAAAGCTCAGTCCTGATCACTTGTCGGGGTGAAACTGCATCTGAAGACAGGTTTCCGAGATGTGAACGCTGAGGTCTCTTTATAGCAGCACCATCAGTAAAATACCTTTATGTTGACCACACTCGCTTTTCCAGAGACATCAGCAAGAAGAGGACTTGCCTCCTAGGTGGAAAAAGGACACACTGTTCCCTTTCTTAAAACCTTCCACCGTGTCGTTTCACCCCGGGTTTTGAGTTCTGGAAACACGGACGTGTGTGTCCCTGAACCGAGACGACTGTGTGCCCTGGGTCCTTCACATGGCAGCTGCATTTCACAAAAGAGAAACACTTTTAACCTGATTTTTCCTGTGGCATTTAGAAAATCTGCCCTGGACTTTGCCACATCCGTTTTTTTTTCCCCATCCCCAAGGCACTGCTGTGAGTGGGTAGGAGGGAAAAACATTAACTTCACTTAAGCCTGAAGAGAGGTCAGCGACACGTCCAGAATCACACGGGGACCCAGAATACCTGCCTGGGTGATTTCTGAATCAGTTTGAAGGCTGGCTATTTAAACAGCAGGAGATGTTTATTCATTTTGGAAGTCTCTCAGGCTGTGTCTCTAAAGGGCTGACATCTGGCTGAAGGGGGAGAATCACTTGGTGCTTACTCACTACTCTCAAGCCAACCAGGTGAAAATAAAAATATGTTCCAAAAAGTTGGTAGAGAAGTTCTCTCATGATAAATCTACAGTTGGGTTATTAGGGAGCGAGAAAGGTCTGTCTGAAGACAGCCCCAGCTTTTGAAGTGGATTTCACAGAGCAGGTCTGTGCCCTCATGACGGGCCCCACTCCCATCCCAACTATGAGAAAAATAGCCCCTTGACATTTTAAACATTTCTTGTGTTTGGGTGACTTTCCAAATATCCAGCGGCCTCCTCTTCCGTCTGTACCTAGATGCCTGTACTGCAGACAACGTGGTGGAGAACAGAGTGCAACGGGCGACTTAACAAGCTTCTTCCCAAAGCTGGCTCTCTGGGTACCGCACCTTTAGGCTGGTGAACATTACTGATCAACGCGTGGAAATGACTGGTGCTAAATGAAATGAACCCCATTTTCAGTTCCGCTGTGGTTGAAACCCATTGTTTTCTCTGATTCAATAAAAGGATCTTGGAAGTTGGTTGCAGCCTCCCTGGTTCCTCCCCTCCTGTGGGGACACGGCAGTTCTCTAGCTCTGCTCTATGCTTTGCAAGTGAAACAATGTTAGTGCCTTTATCAACCCCTTCTCCTTCCTGCTCCCCGTCCAGCCAGCTGTACAGTCCTCTCGGAGCTGGCTGTGAGTTCCTGGTTATGTTCTCTTGGGTAGTTTGGAAATCTGCCTACACCAGTGGCCCTCACCCTCCAAAACAAAAACAAGACAACTCACAGTCACCCCGCTGACTAACAAGAGGAGCGGCCCACCCACCCTGGTCAGCAGGCATCATTTATTTCAAATGTATCCGTATGTGTGGTCATGTGGAGGTTCCTTTGGCCACTCTATTGAGCTAATTAAATTCTAAGATAGTTAAAAGTTTACTAAATTGACCAGAAAACTCTTAGTCACCAAATATGGCAATGAAATGAAAAGATGTCTTTGAAGAAGGCACTGGCTGTGACAATGACTAGACAAAGAAAGAAAATCCCTAGACTTCTTGGCAACTTGGTGATTTATTATTGCCCCCTGAGGTGTGTGCATTTCCTGTAACTGATGACAGTCCCAAGAGCTGGTCCTACTAGATGTAAAAAAGGGAACTTGAGAAGAAGGAAAACTTTCTTTACAAGTTGAAAGTAAAAAAAGCTAAGCAGGTAATAGTTATATTTTAGATATGAAAAATTATAGACACTGGTTTCAGTTGTTAAAAAGCATGAGCTTAAACCTTCTGATTCCCTAATTAAAGTTCTTATTCAGAAAGTTCAAACACAATCTTAACAGCTCAGTTTGTAAAATAATATCATAAAAGGAGAGTGAGCAAATCCATGTGTAGCTGTAGGACAGGGGAGATGCTATTACCAATCACCAAAGGGAGGTGCAAGGGCCCCAGCGTGCTTGTTGAGGATCTCACTGGAAAGGTGGGGAGCACACACAGTGTCATTAAGGAGGATGGAAGCCCAGGCTTGAGAAAAGGTGCAGCGAACCAAGCACAACCTAGAGTTGGAGAAGCTACTTTTTTTTTAATCTGTGAAATTTGCATTGGTTTTGTTCCTTTCAGCGACGTCATAGGCACCCTTTGCACCTCACCTTCAATCTCCACCTTTAGCCTAAAGCAACGACACCCGGGTTACGGTGTGTATTCCAGGCATTTCAATCACCAAATTTCAGTTAAAACAAAAGTGGATTTCTCACAATTGTGATCGTGGCTTGCATAGGCCTCGGTTCATATTTTTCAGCCTCACCTCACCTCCTCTCTCAACCTTCACTTCAGAAAAAACAGAAAGAAACAGAGCATGTAATTTCTTTCCTTTCGGTTCTGGTTGAAGCGTGTGTTAATATCATGATGTCTGAATTCTCATCACATCAGGGTAGCCGGATCTTATGGTTTTAAAACTCCAACAGCTCTAATGGGTAGATGCATCTATTCATGGCCACTTTCAGTGGTGCATGTATACAGACTCTCAAATTAAGTTCTGACGGAGCAGTTTGAAACTGTGCGAAGCACAGCGACTTGCCCACTCGCTAGAGTGACTGTCCGTGGTCCAACATGTTTTAATTCTAACTGCCTATTCCCCAGCTGCCTGACTAAAGACTGATATTATGTCCAAATCAAATTGCTTATCTTGCATTTCACAGCACAAAGGGAAATCCTGGGTGTCTGAGTTTGTTTCCCAAAGAGTTTCCATTAACCCAGTTCATATTTCTCAACAGGAAGTCTTCTAGACTTGGGAAATGATAAAATGTATGCAACTGAGAGCCAAAGATGATCATAGATAAAGGTCAAACATAAAAATATATGCATGCAAAGAGTTAGAATTAATACATTTGGGAGCATTTTCAAAAACAGTTGCTTCTTTCAAGAAGAAATTAAAATTATACTTCTTTACTTTAATTTTCAGATGTAACTCACTTGGTAGAATACTTGGAATACTGAAATCCTCTCATTTTTAGGACAAAATTGGACTTGTATTTCTCTATAACAAGTACTAGACCTAGAAAAATACAAAGAGCTCCATAATAATGCGGCAAAATGTACCCTGCAAAATCACTTATCTAAAGGTAAGATTATCTTTTACTGATAAATTATTAAAAGGCTATTCAAATTAAGCTGTAGAATATGAATGCAAAGTAGTCAGAGTTACTTTCATATTTGGCATAATAGCTAAGAAGCTTAAAAAGAAAAGCAATATGATAACAGAACCACACAATGGGATAGCAGAATCGCTTGGCTTCCATCAAGCCTCCTCCTTAATGTTCTGCAAGAAGAGAACATGCAAGTCGCCTTCATTGTGGAAGCTTCTGGCCTTTGGAAATAAATGGCTGATCTTGATTAAGGCCTAGAGGAGATAGGCAGACACTTTGATTCGAGATGCAATGAGAGAAGCGGTTTGCTCTCCGGCAGCAGACAGAATTGCAGCTGAGTAAGGGCTGTATAGGCCAGGGCTGGGGAAGAAGTCTACCTGGCAGGGAACTGAGAGAGCAATCAGAGCAAACGAGACCGCAGCAGATGTCAGGGTGCAGACAACAGTGGAGTACACAAGAGTCCAAGCAGGTGGTTTATACGGCCTGTCGTCTCCAACCGGAACACACGTTTCACGTGGGCAGGGATTCTACATTTGCTCGTGGCCGTATTCGCAGCTCCTGGAACAGTTCCTGGCTCATAAATATTGGATGAATGAATGAACATAAACTAAGTTTCAGAAGACAGATTTGTCCAAGGAAATTAAATTCCACAAATATCTAATGAGCACCAAAGCAGTGGTCTGCTAAGTGTTCTCAGGTGAAGAAGTCGCTGCAGTGCGGCACGGGAATCCCCAGTGCTTGGGGCAGGGGGGCGCTGATGACATCAGGGAGCATCCTGGGAATACTGTCATTTGAGATGGTATTAAATGATGGGTGGTAGGAAAGGCGGAAACTGGGACCAAAATACCAGGCTGGCCTTGGAAGTTAGTTCCCTGAGCTCCCTGCGGGCTGGAACCACCTCATCTGCGTGCCTGGTGCTGGCGCAGTGCACTTCTAGCAGGTGCTCAATAAATGCCTGTCAACTGATTAGCTGGTAACAGGGACGCAGGGAGGCATCTGAGCTCCCTGTGGGATCAGCATGCTGGCTGGGACCAGCCTTCCTTCCTTCAGCTCCACCTTACTGACTTGAACGACCAGGGCCAGTCCAGAACCGGGACTGTCAGAATCAGGGCTGAGATTTGTACCCCAGGATTAAACGTTAAAATGTCAAATCCCGGGGCCCTATTTGGGACTTCCTGTATCAAAATCTTGGGAAAGGGACCCCGAAACTAGTTACTGTAAGCAAATATCCAGGCAAGTCTTCTGTACACCAAAGTTTGGATTCTACTAAAGTCGGATTTTGTAGACAAGTAAAAAGATCTAGTAAGAAGTCTCTCTCAAGTACCTGCGTTAGTAACTGAAATCCCAAGGGCATGAGAAATTAGCATTGTGGGTGGTTCCTGTGGACCAAAGACTGCAAACATGCTTTCACATATAATAACTTAATACTCAAAAATCCAAAGGCGTAGTTTTATGATACCTATTTTTAAAGAAACAAGCTCAAGGATAGTAAATAAGTTGCCTAACACTGCACAGCAAGTATGGAGTGGGAATCCAAACCAGGTTTAATTCCTGAGACCATAGGCTCCCCTATGTCTTGCTGCATTTGGGGAAATGCAGAATAGAGGGAACCCGGACGTTCTGTAGTGCCTGTCTTTAGGAAATGCACATAGACCCCCATTTCTGATTGGTTGACTCTGTCAAGATGAATTTCTGGAAATCAAGATTTGAGGTTTTAATTATACATGCATTAGGCCTAGACAGAGTGTCTAGACCACCTACGACTTGAATAATCCTTATAAAAAAGCCCAATGCTGGGTGCAGTGGTTTGTCAGGGGCCGAAAACTCAATGCACAGGGCAGACAAGTCCCTTAAGAGGACAACAGGGGAGGTGCAGACTGTCACATCTGACACTGCTGCTCTGCTCCAGTTAACAGTCCCGCCCAGGTGGCCAGGTCTTCTCAGATTTCAGAGAAGCCAAAAGTTCAGCTTCCCATGTGAAATATCCTGATTTTTAAATCTAGGTAACAAATTCAAAGGGCAAACAAACAGGTGTGGAAAACAAGGTAGGCTCCAGCCTACAACCTCTGGTCTGGAGCTAAATCCCAGGGACTTAAGCTACATGGAGTAACTGGGATATTGTTTAGTGAAATGTATCTGTGCATCTTGTTTTTATGAAGGTATATTCTATCACTACTGCTCGTTTAGTTTAATAAAACATGCATCACATCGTCTTTGATTTTACGTAGGTGTATGAGACACAGACTGAAGGCCAAATTTTTGTAAATTGAACTGGGCCTTTCTATTAACTTACCATCCCAGGGATGCCTCATTCTGGTTTTGTAGTGATCTTCAACCGGCACTGGACAATTTAAAATTAAATGATTTCCTGGCTGTTCACCTCATCTTAAAGAAAAATGGAGTAAATTCTCTGGGGGCAGAAGCTTCAGTTTTAGTAAGCACCCCACACTGCATCTGCTTTATATTAACTGATTGCATTTGGAGATCTTTTAAGAACTTCTTGGTGCTTAAGCATTAAAGCTGCCCTGTTTCAGAGCAGACATTCTCTCTTGCACATACAGACCTGATAATGTGATTTACTACAAATGATATAATGATACACGTTCTAAACCAGGAAGTTTAGAACAACTAATAGGGTTTTCGTCCTTATTATTTACCGGTTGTTAACTTATGTAGAATGCCTACTTACTAGCCAGTGAATTACTGTTGTTCTTCACACTTACACGCCCTGAATAATGCTCCCCTCTCTCGGTACTGGCAGCGCTTTAGGGAGTATTTTCATAACGTATTTTACCGCCCGGGTTAAAAAGACACCTCTCCCGCCGCGCCTTTCTTTTTGCAACGTGTATGCATTTATGGCGTGTCATCAAGGGAGGCGATGTTAACCGATCAAAGCAGAAATCATCATCAAATCAACTTAGCACAATGTCACCACGTCAGCAGTCTAACAATGTTAAACGCATCAGAGACGGACAAGCACCAGTGTGAACGGATGAAAAAGGCACTTACAAGGATGACCCGCAAAGATTCCTAGTTTCAAGACCCAACAGAAAGCCTCCAGGAAGTGAAGCCGGCAGGTTCTACTCTCACTTATTTTCATCGCTGTGGTTTTTTTTTTTTTTAACTGTAGTTTTCCACTGTAAAACAAAAGCACATCCAATGAACCTGGTGGATTTTGGGGAAGAAAAGCCGCCGCCTCTTTCCCGGAAGTCTGACGGAGCCGAGTTCCCGGACTGCCGGCCGCGGCCACAGGGAGCGCCCCCCGCGCCCCGAGCCCGCGTGCTGCCGCCG